TGGGCATACCGCGGGTTGTAAAATCTATATATCTATATCTATATCTATATCTATATATATATGACATAATATTCCTATATTTCTATCAATCTATTCTATTAACCTAAGAGTACATTCTAAGAGTGAATTCCTTATAATTATTGATTATATTATAATCAAACCATCTGAATTAATCAATACTAATGCCAATAATGTCAAAAATGGTAAAATTAATAATCTTATAGCAATAACAATACCAATGACAATAACAATATGTTCCTTTGATAGTAGTCTTATAACATTAATTCCTAACCTTTAAGTCCAACCTTACATATGACCCTCCTGAATTAAGTGATTATATAAATATTCTGAGTCCCCTTGGTCCGGTAAATCTTCTTTCTCTCTCTCTGATTGTTTCTTTTAATAATGTCCAAATATTAACATCAATGTTCTCCAATAGATCTCCTGTTATCTATGGGGTATAGTCACCAAAAGTTTTGTTTTCTCTTAAGGTATACCATAATGGGTTTTTTCCCCCAGATTTCGTCATTGAAGTCATTCTTCCACAAGCTAACCAGATACAGACTAACAAGATACAGGTGCTATGAGTAAGCTTTTTTCCTTCTTCAGGCCTTCAATATTGTTAGCTCATTTCCCCCTGAAGGTATCCATGTTATCAGAGTTATTTACAGTTGGCCTTTGTTGTGTTAACTAATTAAGTTTAGATTCGGCTCCTCAGACAGAGAAGAAAAGAAAAATGTCTCCAGCCTGTCTCCAGTATTCCTATCACTGCTACAAAGAGGAGGATGGAAGGGGAAAAAAACCACCCCACTCCTTCTTTGAGCCCCTTAGTTTCTTGAGCTGTTTTGGAATAAAAATACCTTCCACCAAGATCAAGAATCTGATAATCCACTTGCGACTCCTGCAGCTTCTCTGTAATAAATCCTCGCTTACTTTGAACTGCTATCAGCACTCTGGGACGGCCTTTACAGATCGCCCTCTTCCACGCCTGGGGTTATGAAGGAAATTTTAAGCGCAGTCCATGAACTGCCATCCTATGGTCCTGCCAAACCAACCTTCTCTTCGGATTTCCCTACAGGAAATCATCGGTTTCTGCTCTTCATGGAGTTCTCCGTTCAAGCAGCCATTCGTGCTAGCAGCTAACCCCGCCTCTCCATAATCAATGTATTAATGTGACCCATTCATACAGCTATGTCTTTTTTTCTGATTCAGGTATTAGCCTGAAAAGACATGCCTTTAAAGAAAAGCTGCACTCATATGCACACATTTTCAAATAACCTCTTTCAAATTATTTTCAAAGATTGTAAGTCTACCTCAGTAATGTAATCAAGAATATATAAAATTTTACTTTTGACATTAAAATAGAAATAGGCAGGCAAGGCTTTTCTAAGATGATCAGTTGGACTCTCCAACTGTGAATAGGAATAGCTGGCTGGTAGCTATTTTGATTTCTCTTATTGGATTTTTCCAGTAGAAAGGACAAAATATAAACTTTTCCCCCCTGAAACTAATTTAGTTCTACTGTAATACTTTGGACAAATACTTTAAAAATTAGCAAATTTACACTGATAAGAAATGTACTTACATTCATAGCAGCAATATCATTTTCATATGACTCCCTGATTTTCTTCATTATTTCCTCCTCAGCCTTGGCACATGTATCAATACTGCCTTTAACTGTAATGGTTCGTTCTGGATTATATAGTGTCAAGTCCTGCAATCTTCACATCAAAAAGAAGTGAACAGATATGCATATAATAGCTAATATACGAAGCTGAAAATGAAAATAATTATTCTTCAAATAAACTTAAACTTATAGTTCTTCAGATAAACAGTAGACAAAGCTTCAGAATATTCAAATCCTAAATGTATCATTAGCAACTCAGATTCAAGAATGCCTGACCATCAGCCAATCCATTTTTATGAGTGATATAGTCAACTAGCTTGCCGGTCATTTAGCAAAATATGGTTAGGAGTCATGTGGAGATATGGATTGGTTGAGAAGACAAGCATATAGTAGTATGCAAGAAGCCAGTAGGATGTAGCCTCCCTTTTAACTTCTACCTTCAGAAGATAATGTTCAACAATTGTTTCTATTCATATTCTTCTAAATCTGATTATTTCAGTGAAAATGTTGTATTCATATGTATTAAAAACCTCATATTTAATTTCTCACCATATTGTTCAGTTTTTAACATTTTAAGCTATATGTACTATTACAGCTGTTTCAGGGACAAAGGGCTTCACTGTTCAATTCATGTTATTGATATAAGCAATTTATTGCAAAATTGAACAAATCCAGAAATGTATACAATTAAAAAATAATCAAAACCTGAGTCTTTTGACTATAAAACGCACTAGAATAAAATTACTTTTTCTCCTTCACAAATATATGGATCCTAATCATGTTCCATCTAGCATGCAAACACAGACAGACATACACATAACAATTATTAAAACAGACTGGACACAAAATGTATCTTAACTACAACATACTAGCCAATTCAAATGATGCTACCTGTTACAGCTTTTCTATTTTTAAAAAAACCCTCCCTCACAAAAGTGAGGATCAACAGTTCTCTGTGCTATGGACTTACAAGAGGGGAGAAAACTTGTGACACCCCTGTCTTTCCAGATGCAGACCTTTAAAATGTATAGTTTAAATCATTTCAGCATCCCTGTGGAGTTTACCACCGAATACTGGACTTACTGCAGAATGTTTCATGGAGAGTTCCTCCTCCCATGTACTTGGAAGCAAAGCTGATCTTACTAGATTTCCTGCCTCAGGAGGTGGGAGGGAGTTCCCACCCAGTTTGAGAGCTGTAGTCCATTGGGTGCCATAAAAAAAATTAAGAAAACTGCACTGAAGTGTTTTCTTTTATTATCCGACAACTCCAACAAAGAAACATAAGAGGAACAATGCAGAGAAATGGAGAACAAAACAAAAGATTGGGTGGGGGGGATTCTGAGGGGCATAGGGAGCTGTGATAAAGAAAGATGATCTCTTAATAATTTTCAGTAGCCCCCAAAACTGAGATCGGTGCCAATAAGTTGATCTCCTTTCTTTCAAAAATGTTGGCAAACACTGCTCCTTAACTGATGTATCATCAGTATCTACTGCTACAACTTGCTACAGAATTATGCACAACGATGTGAAAATGATTTCAGAAACATCTGAACACAATATGGCCGTACATGTATTCCTAAAGGATGATGCACTGATGTCTCAGACATCCACCCCTTAAGACATGGATGTTTGCAGATACCTTTAGCTCAAGTTATTCTTCACTGGTAAGTACAATGTCATTTCTGACCCACAACACAATGAAGCCAACAATTATGTAAAGCGAAATATATCTCCACCCAATCCCAATAGTTTGGATACTTATATAAGCATCCAATCTTTTCTTCTTCGAATATCAAGACAGAAGCAAGATAGACAGTTAATACCCAGAAGCACGTTATTTTAGCATAAAATATGAACAGATGTTTCCGAACAACTATTTTATTTTTAAATTACTTACACTTGTAAAACAGTGTATCTTTTTGCATCTGTAAAAAAAAAAGCAGATTCCATCTCCAATTCTATGAGCCAATGCAACTATGTCAAGACACCAACCCCCAAGCAACTTAAGAACAAAGTGAAGGAGGACTCTACAGTCGATGTAAAATCTCAATACCATAAACCCTAGTAACATATGCATAGTATGCATTCAGGCAACAGCCATTTCTCTGAAACACAATTACACTGGGAAATCTGAAAAATCCCTACTGGCAAACATAAAGTACTGTTCCCTGTGGGCTACCAGCAACCTCTGACATTCCTTTCCTTGGAATTAAACCATGAATACCCAATGAAACAGAGTGACTAGAGAAGTGACTAGAGAAGCGTTTGACCCTCCTTGATCCTTTTCACATTTGAATTGGAGGCATTCAAGTAGATTTTTGTTGCCTAGCTTTCTATTTTCTCAGAGGGAAATACTCTACTTAACCCAAACAAGAAATGCAGCATTCCTTCTCTGCCTATTCCCTATACTGAGAAAAACTGTTCCACAAACTATTATTTTTCTGATATAGAAAAAATCTTTTAATTGCATGGTAAGCATATCCGAAATGGGGAATGATCCTTTCAAAATCAGATGCAGAACTCTTAAGTGGAATGAGATCTCTCTTCATGAATGAGTAAAATGCATAAGAGATACAATACCCCTATTGATAGTTTCATATTGTGAAATTATGATAACATTGCAGGCATTTCACTACACATGGGATTATAGCTGAGAAAGCTACATTATGGTCTTTCAAACTGGTACTAAATACTTCTCTACTGAGGTTGCTAAGACCCTGGAAATATGCTACATTGAGGGAATAAGACTACTTCTAAAAAAAACGATATAAATCTGGAAAATAAAGGTGAAATCTCATTCATCAGCTCCATTCTAATATGACTCAGAAATTACAAGGCCTTAAAGGTGATTATGAAATTTGAATCATAGTCAAACTGAGTCAAAGTTCACTAACACTGAAGAAAAACAGCAGCTGTTATTTTCCCTGAGATTTATGTAAGAGAATATCACCAATTACTGTTAACTTCATTGTGGCTGATAAAAAAACAACAACAAAAAACCACATACAGCACTGAAATAAAAATATTTAAGAGACAATAAATTGTTAAAATAGTAAACAATTACAAATATAGATGCACATGACATTGAAAAAACGTTTTGTGAATGAAGAGTTTTTGGCTTAGACATTTGGCCAGTTCATTTGCACTATTTGGTTTTGCGCTTCAGCTAAGACAAATTCTAGTATTGTAAGGCCTTGTCCCGCTTTCCACTTAATCTTCCTCAACATAGTCTGTGCACCAGCCCACCCTCTCATTTTGCTAGCTCCTTCCTTTTTCCTAGCCACCAACATGCTTTAATTAAAATGTGGTTTACCTAACAGGCTTATTTGCTCCTTTCTTATTTTTCCTTCTTTCTCCTTAACTACCAATATGGGCCACTCCTGAAGTTGCTTTTTCGGCCCTCTTATTTCTGGGCATCTAAACTGGTGTTCCATGGCTCAAATGTTTTGCAAAGCTTAAATTAAAAAGCTGTTTGAAACCTGACCTTTCTTTGCCCTAAGAAAAACCTAATGCTTAAGGAGCAGCTGACAATCTCAGTCCCAATGTCACAAGCTTTTTGGGAAAGCAGTGAAGGACATGGCTTCGCTAAGGGCACTATGCAGCTCCCAAGTAGAACAGAGTAGCAAGGCACTTTGTACCACAGAGCTCTTGTGAAGCTCATCTTTCAGCATCCATAAAGCGCTTGGGATGCCCCCCCCCCATGTTCTTTCACTGTTTCTCTCCTATTCAAATGCACTATCTCTACCTGCTGTCTGCCAAAAAGCAAACCTTCAATTGCCTCACTCTCTCCTGCCCCAAAGTCCCTTCAGTGCTTGCCCGGCCTTTTCCCCCTTTCACATACCAACCACCACTCCTATTCTCCACTTGTCCACCTGAAAAAGAAAAGCTATCAAACAATTTCTTTGGGCAACCCCCGCTATTTTCTGAATATGCTGTATGTTAAGTGTATTTAAGGCTACTGACATATATGCATTTTCCACTGTATTTTTGCCTGCTTACTCTCTTCTAATCCATTTCTCTCCAAAGAATATAAATACAAACCTTAATTCCCTTCTTGTAAATTATCTGTGGGAGTAATCATTCTAAAGGACAGGAGAATAATTAGGAGGCAAACAAAAGCTAAGGTGTATCATTTTCAAGACAGAAAGCAAAATGTGGTGATGTGGTCTGTCACTTGGCAACTGTTTCACAGTGACTGGGTTGCCAGTTCCAACTATAGTTGCTAAATGAAGCAACCTATCTTTATCTCTGATAACCAACTAAGAGCAGGTATGAATAACAGTCAATTGTCAAATTCTTCTTTGAACCTGTATGTGTTTTGCCTGTTTTACTTTCTTTCAAAAGGTCCAAATTACAAGCAACAGGGTGAAGAATATGCAGGTGCAACAGGATTACTAATATTTTGTCCTTTTTATAACTACCATGAAATCTTAGAAGTAAGCTCTGTTCAGTACTCTATCACATTCACTTCTGATTTTACTACCACCATCACACTAGATACCTTTTCACTCATTTCATTTTCCTCAATTCTACGGAAACCCAGGAACTGCTTGGTATCAGAAACTAGGAAGAGGCCTTACTGAAACAACTTCATCAGCACATTTTTTTCTTCTGCCATAGATTACAGAAACTGGCTTAGGTAACCAATGGAACTTTCTGCCAGAGACCAGGAAAATCTCCAAGTGATTTCTGGAATCCTTCTGAATCCATTTGCAGTAGACTATTCTAAAGAGCCTGACTTCCATGCAGAAGTCCTGATCTTTTCATCTGTAATTTGATAAGGAAGTGATCGGACCACAATAAACATGGATGTCAGTGTCCTTCATCTTCAGATAATATCTCATCTGCTCCGAAGTGAAGACCAGCTCCACTGTGCCTTGCCATGTGTTCAAGGGATGCAATTACTTGCAATAAACCCCACGATCCCCATGGAGGCTATGAATTCACAAGAGCCTTCCTCAGAACATGGAAGTTGAAGTAACCCAAAATTAAAAGCTTCAGGAACTCTAAACTAGTGCAAAGAACTTCCATATTAATAGAAGTAGTATTGATAAATATGAAATTTGATAATATACAAATGAGAATGTCATGAAATTCTACTCAAATTTAGAGACAATAGAATGCAATGCATTGGAAACATTAATATCTCTTGGGAATTCTGTAACATTTTTCAAATGTAATATATTGAACTGCATATCTTAGAAACATATATAGAAATATATTAATCTATATTGGCATTTATATGCATAAAAGGTTTATGGTGTAACATGACATTTCTATGCAAAGAAAATATATTATCACATAGACATAACCTAATGGAATTAGCAATTCTGTGAATGCAGTTAATACTTTTTTTTTAAACCCTTATGGCAGTTAGTAATTCTAACAAATATAGCATTTTAAGATTGACTTGTTGCATACTTCCTTAAAAGACCAAATACTTACGGAGATATTGTTATTTTAGTGTCAGTATCCTGTTCAATTTTTTTCAAATTCCGTCCCTCTTTACCAATGAGTCGGCCAACAAAATTATTATGTGCCAGTATCTTCAAAGGAATGTCGTCTGTGCTGTAAACATTTCAGACAGATGTATAAATGAAGGTCATATAATTTATCAATCACAAATTAAGAAGCAGAGTCATTTTTCCATGATCAAGTTCATATAGTTTATTATATAATCAAGAAATTCTCAAACTATCCTGGAAAATTAAATTTCCTCAAGAATAAAAGTTGAAGCTTTAAGCCTATCATTTCCAAAGAGCTTTGAGTATATTTACCTTTATATATGATCATTGAGGACACAATTGCTGATTTTTTATCTAGGGACACGTTTGAAATAAGATTTAGTTTTAAAAATACCATGTGTCTGCTGGAAATATACTACAATTTTTCTATTTTAATTAGACTGGGTTTTTTCATACTTTGACTCCAAAGCAAATTTATTCTTCGTTTAATCAGATTTCTTGTGTTTCTATGGGGACAAGCTTTATCAGTTGTTCTTCATATTATTTCCTATCTCTAATAATAAGTTCTGACTTCTTTTATATTCACTAATTATAATCTGTCTAGGACACCATCTTATCACAGTTGAGGGAAAAAGAGAATGCATTTAGTACTGTCCCACAATAACTAGATGAGCTGTTTGATTATGAATTATCTCCTTTACTACTCTATTAACATGAAGTTAAAAATGAAAGCATTATACTGTGGTTATTTTACAGCTGAAAGATTGGTGAAAGCAAGGTTATTTCCTAGGCCAATGTGACTTTAAATCTTCAATGAAATAGTCAGTGACATAATAAAACTAGACCATTTAAAATTGCTTTCTTTTTTAAAATTTGCAGTAACTTCAACTATTACTAACACTTCTACCATGTTTCAATTCTTACTGTTAAATTTATACAACAGTTAAAATATGGTTCCAGTATGGGCAATTACAGGCTAGGTGGAAAATAGATAAAAAAATTGGTTTTATCCAAGTTGAGGATAATTTGTTTAAACAAATAAGAGATCAAAGCTTAATGCATTAAAGAGGATATATAATGTATTAATACAGATGGATTCAGAAACAGAATTAGTTAAAGATTGTATGATAAATGGGCTCAAAATATTGAAGAACCAATAATGTTGGATACATGGGAAAGAATCTGGGTAAGAAATGTGAAATTTACACAAGCTCAAAATCTGAGAGAAAATTTTTACAAGATGTTCTATAGATGGCATTTAGATCCTAAAAAGTTGGCTTCTATGTATCCGAATGTACAGCCTAAATGTTGGAGGTGTGGTTCTCTCGATGCTACATATTATCATATATGGTGGACCTGCCAAAAGGTTAAGGCATTCTGGATAAAAATATGGTGGGTTATGCAAAATATCTTTAAAAGAAGGATAAAGTTTACTCCTCAGTTATTTTTACTAGGTATATGTACTGACTTTACAGTGGTAGAGACTAACTTGATTCTGCACCTAATAACGGCAGCAAGACTGTTGGTGGCGCAATACTGGAAGAAGGAAGACTTGCCTACAATCCAAGAATGGACATTGAAAGTCACAAACTTAGCCGAGATGGCTAAAATATCGGCATATCTTAAAGATCACTCAAATGAGAGATATAAACGAGACTGGAAAAAATGGATTGACTATATACAAAATAAATACGGGACCAAGAAATTCCAGTTAGCCTATGCTTAAGATCAGAAATGATTTAAATTGTTTAAAGTTAGTTCAGCAAGAAGAAGCTAAGGTCAATGCAGAATGTCATTAATTTCTTTATTTCTTTTTTTTCCCCCAATAGATTTTAGACTGTATTTGTTAAAAATCCATACTGTGTACGGGTTCTGGGGGGAGGAGGGGGGGTAGGGGGTGGAGGGAGGGAGGGGCACACACACACACAAAAATGTACTTCGATGTTTTAATGATTGACGAACGATGAAATATTTGTGTTTTAAAAGAAATAAAACCTTTGGAAAAAAAAGATTATTTTTGGATACTATTTGCGATTGCTATATTGAGAAGCACTCTTTGCTTATATGTATTTCAATTGCTAGTTTGAAATGTTAGAAATTTATTTGAAATTCTGGTTTCATTTTCCCACATCAGTATTTACATATATCTCTATAGATGTATTTTAACTGTGTAAAATATGCTTAAGAAATAGCTAATATATCCCTCTTTTGTCTAACTCTTTTCTTCAACATATATAGACAGGATTAAGACCTAATATTCATTTGTACATAATAGGTTTGCCATAGTTAAGTACTGGTGGTCCTCAACTTACAACAGTTCATTTAGTGACTAAAGTGACCTCTAGTAAGTAAATGAACTCACAACAGTTCATTTAGACCAGGAGTAGTCAAACTTTTAATACCTACTTTTGTATCTCTGTTAGTAGTAAAATTTTCTAACCCTCTACTGGTTCCACAGTAATGGTATTTATAAACTAGGGAAGTAACTTTACTTTATAAAATTTATAAAGCAGAGTTACAGCAAACCCCTACTGCCCACCATGAAAGCTGGAATGCCCACTAGTGGGTGGGGGGGACCAGGTTGACTACTACTGATTTAGATACTGAAAAAAGGGACTTAATCTTTTTTCACACTTAACAATTGTTTCAGCATCCACATGATCAAAATTCAGGCAGTTGGAAAGTGGCTCACATTTATGACAGTTGCAGTGTCCCGGGGTCATGTGATCCTCTTTTGTGACTTTCTGACCAGTAATGTCAATGGGGAAGCCAGATTTATTTAATTTAATTTATTTATTAGTCACCGTGTGACTAATTTAACAACTGAAGTGCTTCATTTACCAATTGTGTCAAGGAAAGTTTCAAAATAGGCCAAAGTCATTTAACAAATTCTCACTTAGCAACATAAAACATAAAAACTGTGGTCATAACTCAAGGATTACTTATATTTGAGACAGGCTGGCAGGCAGGCAGACTTACTAAAACACCTTTACTCACAATTTAGTGTCTTGAGCTTCCTTTTGCATTATTTCCATGATAATTTTACAAGCAGTTGAGCATCCTTCTGGAGTAGAATGGATTGTGATCGGTTTTTCAGCAGCTCCTGCATTTTCTTTACGATGAATATCAATCCTAAAAAGAAGGGGGGAAATGTAAAAATATTTGTGATTTTCAAAATCTGAGTCTATTGAAAATAAACCAATAGAACCAAATTCAAATGTGATGACTGTCAGATTAATGCATTTTCATTAATTATCATAACACATTCAGTTCAATCCATTTGGTCTTGTTGTTTAACCTCATTTAGCTTGCATCTGCCATGCTGAATATGCGTACAGAAGATGTTTCCTTTGAGGGATTAAACCAAGTCCCCAAGAGAGTAATTTATACATATTTTTATCCAATCAAATTTTAGACAAAGTCCTTCTGAAATTGAGCTTGGTTCCATGGAAATGATTTGCCAGTATTTTATTTTGGGATTTTTTTCCCCCTGTAACTTACAAATGACCTATTATATTCACCCTTTTAAAGATCAGCCACAATAACTCATATTCACCTATTGTTATATAAGATCTGATTACCAGAACTACTACATTAATTCAATGCCATTTTCAGACCTACAACTCTGTGATTTAACATATTTCGGTTCAGCGAAGTACAAGACATTATGCCTGGCTTTCAAACAACCCCAAAATTCACTCAAAAATGGATGTCAAAATAAGTAATAAAGTACAAATATCTGTAATCTGTGAATACAGCTAAAAAAACAGACTGCTGTTTTATTTGTTTCAACAAGTACTACAATGAAATGCAAAGTCTTCATTGGACATTCTTCAATGCAAAAATACTACATCTCTATATTGGCTTTATTCAGATTCCATTCTGCCAGATTATAGTTTTGATAATTGGAAACATCTCACAGACATCTACCAAACAATTAAGTTAAATATTATTAAATTTAAATAACAGAAATGGGCAAAAATGTCAAATGTAGCCAAATCAGTAATAACACAGTCTTTCTAAACATGATGTCTGATCGAAGACTGAGCTGTGAATGACCCTAATGTTTTCTTCCTTTCCATCCTCTTGAGTACCTGACTCCTTAATATCTAGACTGGGGAAATATAGATGCAAGAGAATATATTGAGATGTGACACATTCTAATGTTTATCTGGATTCATAAATGTAAGAACTCTTAATAGCACTACAACCCAGTTAGCACCATCTCTGTTGAACCAAATACTCATGAAGCAAGATCATATGAAGTCAGTCTTCTTTTCCAATTAAAAATTATAAGTATACTAAATATAACAATGTAATGCTTTAAATTATAATAAAAATTAATAACAATTGGTAACAAAAACTTCATATAGTGACTTACTTTGACTGTGTCTGCTTTGTGATGTTTCTGATTGTGGCCCCTTCTTTTCCAATAATAGCTCCTACAAACTGGGTTGGAACAAGTATCCGTAATGGAACATCAGACTGTGGTTTCTGTCTTGTTGCTGCACCTGGAGAACCTTGTCTAGGAGGACCTCTCTGCCCAAATCCACGTCTACCTTGAGAGTGCTGCTGAGGAGGTGGTTGGGCTGCCATTTCATCAGGAATATATGCAACTTTTAATGAATAGTTTTCAAGCTGGAATCCGTTCAACTTTTCTATTGCTCTGTATAAGTTTACGAAGAAAGTAAGTTGTTGCAGATGAAGCAGCAGAACAGAAATCCAATCAATTATGGTATAGCATTTCATTGGGAATGGTAAGCTGTCCCATCTGGCTCACGAAACCATAATTAACCCTTTTCTTTATGTCTAAAAACTAGCTCCTTCCTTCCTCATGGGGAAATGCCTTAAGATGACTCAAAAGAAGTATTAATAACAACATAAAGCAGAATTGCTCTGAAGTTCTGCCTTTTTCCTATTTCTCTAGAGCAAAACGTACTTTGGGAGCCAGCGTCTGAAAGTGTTCCCAATTTTAAAGTATTTTGAGTGCTGGCTTTTGAAGAGCCACATTTAACTTCTTTCTCTTTACAAATAGGCATAAGTTGGCAAAAAAGAGCCCCTTAGAAAGGAAGATGTGATTGGCTGGAATCTTAAAACTGCTTATCATTGTCAGATAGGCAACATGATAAGAGGAAAGGACTTTGACCCTAATTCATGACATTATAAATAAAAGGAAAAGAACTGGATTTTGGGCTGGATCCTATTCTCCATCAAGAAATTCAAATTCCAAATATAGGTAGTCCTCAGTTAATGACTATCCTGTTTAACGATTATTTGAATTTACAACAGAGCTTAAAAAGCAGGTTTACAACTGGTACTTGAACTTACAATGGTTGAAACATCCCCCTGTCATGATTCAAGCACTTGACAATTGGTGCACATTTCTGACCTTTGAAGTGTCCCGCAGTTATATGATCACACCATTTGTGACTTTCACAGGTGGCTTCCAACAAGGAAAGTCAATGGGGAAGCCAGCAGTTAGTCAAAAGTTGTGGTTATGTAACCATGCTTAACAACTATGGGTGATTTACTTAATGACCACAGAACTCATGTTGTAAGTTGGACAAGGTGACGTTTCACTTAGGAACAACAACAAAGCAGAGTTGCCAATCAGCTGTGATTATTAAAAGATAAATTATCTGTAAGTTAGTTGCCTAAATTTGAATCGTCATTCTTTCACCTTCCTTTCTGCTTTTTCCTTCATATTATATGACTGTTTAGACAACCAATCTGAAGGTAAGGTTTTATTGCATTCTCTTAAGAAAAGCCTTTGCATTTTAATCCTAACTACAAATCCTGCATGAACAGGAACGGGAAGAGATTTTTCCCCCTTGTCTCCCTTCTCCAAATCACCAAGTTTTAGAAAAACCTATATACAATTAAAATATCCAATACGACATCTCTCAACTCAAACATAGTTTCTAACAGAGTTCCCGGTTTATATTATCATGGGTCTATTTAAACCATTTGTCTTCCTAACAGAATAATTCCTGCTTCCTCCATAACTCATTTTTGAATCAGTGTGGCAATGTATTATAACAATACTTCACTCATATCAAACTCATTTCAAACGAGAGGACTAATACAAGGGCAAACTGTCTTGGCAAATTTGATCTTTCCCCCTTTTTCTACTTACATGCAGCTGTTCATGAACTACACCTGGCAGCCTGGAGGCAAGTGTTACTCATTTAGGCAAATATCTAATTACAATAATGTATAAATTAATTGAAATTATCAATCGGTTAGTATTGACCAATTTGTTAACATTTAAAAAGTCATGGTACATTTGAAACCTAACTAACCAAACAACTAGTTCACCTTTCTTACATGAAAAGTGGATTTAAAATAATGGTGTGACTTTAAAATCATAGTACACTACCAAAAAAATAATTAAATATCTGTGGTTCAGTATTAAAGCTTTAATCCATATTCATGTGCATGCACCTACATAAATATTTCCCAGAGACAAAAGATAGAACCCAATGTGAACTGCAGCTTACTTCAAAATTGCACCCTTATGAGAGGTATGTGTACTGAAAGCAAGGTCTAGTAAAGAATTTTTAACAGGTAAACTGTTCTGGTACTACATTGTTCATCTAACTCTTACAACACACAATTCTAAGAGCCTTATTTCTATAACGGCTCTTTGTAAATTGTCAATAGCACTAAATGATTGAGCAAAACCAAGTGTAAATGTGTAGAGAATCATACAGAAAAAAAGGAACTAAATTATTAATTTCAGAACTAAATTATTAATTTCAGTTAGCCACTAGGTGGCACAGAATTCCATTTTAATATTTTCATTTTGTAGTGGAATTGACACCAGATTTGCCAAACAAATGTAGACATCAAAATACTACAAGACATAAAAACTGTGAAAAAAATATACCCAAATACTTTATATATATAGCTATCTCTACATATCTACATTTGTAATTGTATGGTATTCTTTGATGCAGCATTGGGTCAATATCAATTTTTTTGAAAAATTAATGTATCCTTTCTATAATTATCACCCAAATAGGTAGCCCTTGATTTACAACCAGTCACTTAGTGCTTAAGAAAAAGGGCACTTGTCTATGGATATGCTCAATCATCTAGGCTGTGGTTGTCCCAAAGGAGTTTTTTTCCAAAAGGTAACTGGGCAGTCTTGGTGTTTTCTTTAAAAATTTTCATGCCTCACTGAAGTTTTTCAATTCAGAAATTTGGGGGACTTATGACCTGGATCTAAAGTTACAACAGTTCTTTCCCCCACAGTGTTCACATGACCAGAGTCATGATACTCAGCAACATGGCTGCATTTATGTCCATCTGCAGCATTCCAGAGTCATGTGATCGTGTTTTATTTCAGCCATAACTTCAGGCAGGGGTCATAAGTCCCTTTGTTCAGTACCATTCATAATTTCAAATGATCACTGAAGAAACATTTGTAAGCTGAGGACTACCTGTATACTGTAAAATAGTGTCTCCTCACTATGATTTTAAGAAAGTATTTTTGACTTTGCAAAAATAGGGCAGGGCATGTAGACAGATATAACTTTTACTGTTGCCTACTGCTGTAGAATTTGCTTCTACTAGAGTGATAGCCAATTCTGAACTGTGGTCATTTTATACCAGATTGTACACAAAGAGCTCTACCTAGTAGAAGTCCAGTTTCCTCTATTAATGTGTGCATCTGTGGCAGAAAAGATTTTAAAATATAAATTCCAGCAAATTTTAAATAAACCATTGCAAACATAAAATAGCAAATACACTGATAATGGATGAATGGGTTTTTTTTAACTTCTACACCGATCTGATATATTGGCATTTATGCATTTACTTCCATGATTTGGTTTTACAATGTTTTTAATTTTACATGCCACGTTGAATCTTTTTTTGATCAGGTGGCCTTATAATTCTAATAAAGTGTCAGCAAATATTCAGATGAAGATTTCATTGCTTCCAATTCTGCAGTCTTGAAATATTTAACAAGAAACTGAAAAAGACTTGCATATAATAATAATAATAAAGTAAACCCAGGATTAAATAGGTGTCAAATTGGAATGTGTGGGGGTGTATATTATATAAACAAGAAGAAATACCCGTTTCCGACAAATGCCAACAGCTTTCAATTGCTTTAAGACATTATAAGTTTTCCAAAGTTTGATTTTCTTACTATTAAAAAGAAATTCTATGAGTGTTCATCTAGACTCAAATCCTTCTATAGTTATCTTCAATCTGGGCATTTTTCACTTACACGGGTCAACTCTTCTCAAGAAGACATCTGGTCAGACACATCAAGAAACTAAATACACCAATTAACAGGGAACTGTTTGATGTTAAATCACCTTACTCCATCATAAAAGTTTACAAGTGCAATTCCCCAGTGCAACTAGATATGTTCCTATTCAAAAGGTAATCCAACTAAACTCAACATGCAGGGTTACATATAAGCAGTTGGGTGAAGAGTGTAACCTTAGTATTTTGATTTTAAAAAGCAAATATAAAATAAATGACAAATAAGAGACTGTATCAAACGTTAATACATAAGAGAAAAACAATTTTAAAGATAGGAAAAAAACTAAAAATGAATAAATGAGGACTTACTGCCTGGCCTGGTCCTTATTGGCGTATGTTACATTTACTACTGCAGTCTCTGTGTCAGTATTCACTAGAACAAAAAAGGATGTATCGGAAAAAATAAATTAAAACTTCCTTTGATTATTTCCTTTAAACAAACTATTTGAATATTACACCACCTTGTTCACACGTTTCCACAGTTCCATACTGTGCCAGCAAACCATCTAGGACCTAATAAAGAGAAACAAAGTGCAATGTAAACTTTACACAAGTTATACAAATGTATATAATAAACTTCCAGCATAATATATATAAATCCCAATTACGTTTATGTCTTACAAAGTTAGTAACAGATTTTTCTTAATTTGATAATCTTTATTGCTGAATGTGAAACCTCCTCATTCAATTTGATCCCCAGGAATTAAATGAATTTGTTAATAGCAAATTGTACGGAGTTACTTCTGAGGACAGATTAGATAGATAGGTAGATAGATAATATCCATAATAGTTTATCTTACTTCATTTTGTTTTAAATGCATACTGAATAAAACTTTATCTTATTCAAGATTTAAACGAAATTAAAGGGACTGCAAAGATGTCAGAATAAACTGTAATATGTTACAGTTATTATAGTTACTTTTCTTCATTGCAAAAAAGGCTTGAGACTTAAATCAGCACATATTAAAACAGGCTAATTACTATAATTTTCTTCAAAATCAAAATAAAACCATGCTTATTTAGAAAAATGGTTGACTCAAATAAATGCAATATTAAAAATAATTTAACTGTTCCTATTATGGTGAAGAATTTAATAGATAATAGATTTTTAATAATAGATTAATAGATTTTTTAGAAATAAATATAGAGGAGTTTACAATTAATTACAATTTTAGAGGAATATTTATTGTAAAGTAAGCTGAATTCAGTTAGTGTGCTTAAAAGGGGAGGGGGGAAGTAACAAGCAAGTTATTTTTTTTAACTTCATTAGACTGAAAAATTCCTTGCATATTCAGGAATGTAACCTTTCAAGTCAGGCAGCACTTAATCAGTAGTTATAATAATTTTTAAATTTTACAATAACTGGCAATTTTACTATGACTTAAATACTTCACAGAGAGAGACAGAGAAAGAACAATCCTCTGAGGCAACATTATTCATTTTAAATAAGAATTCACTTCACTCCTTTTTACAAATGCAACCTAGTCTCATCAAGCAACAAATGAGGTTTATGTAGAAGGAAACCTCTTGAAGGGATTTTGTTGGATATATTTATTCCTCACAATCTTTTTTTTAACCCATCAAAAACATATTTCCTGGTGCCTGGAACCCGATAACTAAAACATGAAATATAATAAACATACTTTTAAGCTAAGTTGTTTTTTGAGCAGAGAAAATGAAAAATCATGCCATTTGGTTAGTATTGTAACTCACTCCTTCAAAGGAAGAAAACAGTTGGTTAGATGAACACTTAATTCATGTCTAGAATAAACACCCAAAGTCAATGGGATACAAATTTAAACCTGTATCCAGCCATTATTTTTAAATCAGTATAAACCCAACAAAATACATCTTCCTTTTAGTACTAATCTTTGTTTAATATTGGCTTAATCCAACATGATTCTCATATTTTATCTTTTGTGGAGGGGAGAAACTGAATGCAATTAGTTTAAAAATAGGCATACTTTTCATCAGTAAATGTGAAAATGATTTCTAATATAAGCAGCATTCTATAAAGGCAAAATCACTAAAGACTGAATGCAAAAACAAAATAATGAAAAATAACCAAGGAATTTATATTCTAAATCTTAAACCATAATCTTAGTAATACTCGCCTCACATTCTAAAAATAAATTCACATCTTAAATCAATATACATGAATGAATCCAAGAAAAGCATGAGAAACATTTGCATTGGTATTCTAGCTTCCTTACTTACTAGGCCTTTCTTTCATTTTTATAACTACTCCCAATTCCTATTTGATTTTATCAAGTGCAATACATTTTTATTTTATTCCTAAAAAGCCAGGTCCTCTAACTTTCCTCTAAAAAAAAACCCATTTAGCCTAAATTGTTCATCTGCCTCTCAATCTTCACATGCACTCTTGTTGGGCAATAAAATAATTTATAGCCAAGCTTGTAGTAAGAGAGTAATCTTGATGAGCAACTTAACAGAAAAGTTTGTTTGTGTGAATAATTACTCTAGCTAGAAAATGCTGTTTTTGCATATATATTTTTAGTCCTGCAAATGACTGCGAGAAATGTCACAGAGGAACATGATGGAGCTGAGCTGGGGCAATGGTGCATGTCACTTCTGGAACACATGTCACAGGGTTACCACCAGTATAGGGAAACACTGTTAATAATACTGTATAACTTAACTTTTAGTATCTGATGAATGAAAGCCTATAGTATAAAAACTGCAGCTTTTTGTTTGCAAGAAAGACATCTGTGTAATAACAAGAGGAGGAAACCCCAATTAGACAAATGCTAGAGTTCCTACATAAAAAAGGAATACATTATTCTGCTTTTGTGCTGGTGCATTTGCAAGAGGCAGGCCTTCCATAGCCTTCTCCTCCTGGAGCCCGTTTCATGGAGCCACAATGCAACCCTACTTGTTCTCGCCTCCTGGATGTTAGTTGCTTTTCCTGCAGAGCTGCATGTATTGAGATGTTCTGCCTCCCTGCTGGCCAGCTGGTCTTTGATATTCCGTCGACCAGCTGAGCATGGGTACGCTACTCCTAGCCTCTAGATGTCAAATTCCCAGCACCCGTTCAGGGGTTCTTCCCCCCCCCCGCAGAGGAGAGAGGTAGAAGGGGGAGGGGAAGAGAGAGGGGAAGGAGAGAGAGGGAGGAAGAGAAATAAAGGGGGAAAGAGAGGGAGGAAGAGTTAAAGGGGAGGGATAGAGAAGGAGGGAAAGAGAAAGGGGGAGGGAAGGAGAGGGAAGGGAGGGAGGGAGGGAAGAGAAGGGGGAAAGAGAGAGGGAGGGAGGGAAAGAAAGAAAGAAAGAAGGAAGGAAGGAAAGAAAGGGAGGGAGGGGGAAAGAGCACTAAAATCAAACATATAGTTCTATGAAAATGAAAATGTAACAGCCCTTTTGGATTTCCTCAGTTTTTGAGCATCTTTGCCACTGTGTGTTCTTCATGTGAGTTCTACATAAAGAAAATGAATGAACAAATAATACCAATGTTTTATGCATGTTCCATTTATTTTATAAACAAGTAATTTAACATGCTTGTTTATAAAAGCATGTTATTATGTAATTTAACATGCTTGTTAAATTACTGCCCACATTTTTAAAAAACCACCCTTCGGATTCAGGAACTAGTTGCACCATCTCTAGCTTTTTGCTCAGTAATTGCACTTAAATGCTTCTGTAGTCACAGACTAGTTTCTCAAGTAGCTGTTTAGAATTTGCATCTCAAATTTGTTTAAATGTGTTCTATTTATCTACTTTCAGAACTTATGTTGAGAATAGATGTTTGAGGTCACATTTATGCAAAAATATTGAAAATTCCAAAGAATTCACGAACCTTTAAGCAGCATTGTACAAAATAGCAGTTAGACTTATACACCGCTTCATAGGGCTTTCAGCCCTCTCTAAGCGGTTTACAGAGTCAGCATATCGCCCCCACAGTCTGGGTCCTCATTTCACCCACCTCAGAAAGATGGAAGGCTGAGTCAACCTTGAGCCGGTGAGATTAGAACCGCTGAACTGCAGATAACAGTCAGCTGAAGTGGCCTGCAGTACTGCACCCTAACCCCTGCACCACCTCGGCTCAAAATTGGTCTATACTGATTACTAGCATCATATATATGAATTAGACTATAACAGTGATGTGTGGTGAGGTTTATGGCTGGTGAGGCAGTCCTGTCCCACAACATCCCACTGTCTAAAGCACTTTCTTTCTTTCGCCTGCCTGAGCTGACAGGTGGGCGAAAGAAAGAAAGCGCTTTAGACAGTGGGATGTCGGGGAAGAGGAGAGAATGCCTGAGCATTCTCTCCTCTTCCTTGACACCCAACTGGCTAAAGTGCTTTCTTTCTTTCGCCTGCCTGAGCTCTGACAGCCTGACGGCCTGTGCCGGCGGGCTGCCACTTTCTTTCTCCCGCCTCTGTGTCTGCTGCAGCCCGCCAGCAGAGGCGGGCGAAACTCACATTCTTTCACCCGCCTCTGTGTCTGCGGCAGCCCACCAGCACAGGTCGGTGAAAGATACTTTCTTTTGCCCGCCTGTGTCCGCAGCAGCCCGCCAGCAGAGGCGGGCGAAAGCCCTGGCTCTGCTGGCGGGCTGCCGTGGACACAGGCGGGTGAAATAAAGCATCATGAATCAGGAAGTATTCCTGCTAATTGTATATGCCCAATATAGATATTGGGCAATGTTCCCTCTAAGCTGCGTGGCTGCGCGGCCGCGTACCTGACACGAAAACACCACGCAGCAGTTTCCAACTGCCGCGCAGTGATTTCTAATGTCACAGGCTCTGGAAGCTGAGGGGCCTCAGATTTTCTGTCCTGGTTAGGGTTAGCACGGGCGTGGTGGAGGGGTAGTGATGGCGGCAAGAGCTTATGTGGCACGGCCGGTCTCCTGGGACCTCCTAGGTGCCAGCTGCGCCACTCAAACTACCGTCAGTCGCCCAATGTTCAGCAAAGCAAGCGCAGGGAAGTCCTCTGCAGGTGGCTATAACTGCCCGCCCACAAAGGACCTCCCAGGACTTGTTTTGATGAGCATGGGGTGACTGATGGTAGTTTGCGCCGGCCACACCCGCTCAAAATACCGCCAGTCGCCCCATGTTCAGCAAAGCAAGCCTGGGGAGTTCCTTTGTGGGCGGCCACTCCTAGCTGCTTGCATCCGGCACTGTGGCTGAGGTGAAGCCACCAAAGCTCTTGCCAGTGCCCCCACATATGGCAGTGGCGCCTCCCACTCCGCTGGGAGCACCTGACCTGGTTCCTGCATTACCCCTGCCCCCTCCTCCTCCACCATGCTTTTGAGGAGCCATGATGCCTTTTTTTCCTGTGGGGCAGGAGCTGGACGGCAGGTGCGAACCGACCGCGGAGGGGAAAAGGGCGCCTGAGTGCTGGCAAAGGTGAGGTGGCAAGGAGGAACCCGATGGCGGTGCCATCACGGGAGCCAGTAGGAAGGCAGTGAAGGGGGCGGGAACAGGGAAAAAAGGCCCCATGGCTTCTCAAAAGCATGGCAGAGGAGGAGGGGGCAGGGGTAACACGGTGCCCAGCTCAGGTGCTCCAAGCAGAGGGGGAGGCACCGCCGCCACTTCCACGGGCACCAGCGGGAGCTTTGGTGGCTTTACCTCAGCTACAGCGCCCGGTAGCAAATGTGGTGGTGCTGATTGGAGGAGGAGGAGGGGGGAGTAGTTATTCTGGTGGGGGGGGGCTCACTGGCATCTTCAGCGACGGCCCTGCCCCTGGTGAAAAAACCAAAGATGGAGCAGATTCAGGCTGATAACATTGCTGCAGCTGCCAGGTCCAGACGGAGGTAGCCAGAGCAGCGCCGAGGCGAAAGAACAACATGACTGGAGGAGTTGAAGTCCACAAGTCTTAAAGCTGTCAGGTTTTTTTTTCTAAAGGATTAGGGGTGCAAGGGTCTTGTAACTTGACAGCTTTAAGACTGCATGCTTCAAATGCCAGTTTCTGAGCCAACATTTCGGTTGCTAAGCAGGAGTGTTGTTAAGTGATACTGATATTATATAACACTTAATTAAGCGGGTACCTTGAATAAACATAACTTTGAGTTTCAAATAATACTGATTTCGTTGTTGTCTTAGGTGACATCTGTGAAAAAAATTCAGGTGCTCAGGCATGAAAATATGCCGCTCAAACACTATACTTTTCTGCTTGCACTGAAAAATAATTAAAGGGAACATTGACATTGGGTACTCATGATCAAACTGAGGAATGTTGAAATGTTGTTCAGTAAACAAATCAAAGTGATTTTATGATTCCTGATTTGTTGAACACACCATATTTAACCTATATTATGTAGAAGTAATAATATATGGTGTATTTATTTCAAATCTCTAAGATTTAGTAGAGATTTTAATTCACAGCATTAAAATCAGTTATTTAAATGGTGTGTTTGTATATGGAATGTATATACACAATCTCTTATAATTCCATGAATTCTAAAAGTAATCTGTCAGTAACAAATCACATTTCTCTATTAAAGCTTTAGCATATAAATATAGCTAAAGCACCACCTGTGGGTACTTCCTTGCCTATATTCAATGAAACTGTATGTACACTAACTTTATTTTATGAATTTTCTTTCGTCTAAAATTTAATTCCTTTCCCACTATGTCACAATACTTTAACCTTTTTTTCTGTAAGAATTTTTAATGGCAACTGCTCCAATGTATTTTCTCTATTATATGAAAAAATCTATTTTCCCCTCCAATCATTTTAAATATTTTACTTTTACTTACACAGCTAAAATATCATCCTACTATACTGTATAGCCCCACTAAAAATGGGGAAAAGTGGGGAATAATAGAGATATTTTTGATATATAAAAATATTCAAAGACTTCAACAGCTCTTTAGTTTCCAAAACCTATCAAATAAATTATTTAGGCAAATGAATATAAATTTTACAAATTATATCTGGGAGAACTACAGCATGAGAAAGAGGCCCAAATAGAAAAGTATCCTCATATTCTTGTGATAATTGCCATCCTGATTTTATAAAATCTCCAGCCAGCACGGTACTTTGAAAATATTTAGAGACAGAAAACTAATTATACGAATTCCATCACAATGTTCATGTTTCTAAAGATTAGGAAAGCACTAAAGTGGGAATAAATAAGAAGGTTACCATTCACCTAGGGTTGCATTATAAAACTCTGAAAACATTTTAACTCCAATTGCCCTCCATTTAATTTCAACTGTCCAAATGAGTCCTCCGGGATTGGGCGGCCTATAAATCTAATAAATTAAATTAAATTAAAATTGAAATAAATATTTGGATGTTTTTATGGTTCAAAGTTGTAAATTAACATCTCAAGAACAAAAAACAGTTCTTGTTAAATTTTGCATATGCTAAGAGTTAGAAGAAAAAGAAGTGAGAGAACAAGAGACAAATTGGTAGGCAAAAGACATACTACCAATTTATCCTCTTATAAACATGTTGAAAATGTAAAATTTAAAGATGAATGCCTACCTCCCACTGCAAGTGTGGTGGAATATTTCGGATTTGAAGTTTTCGACTCCTAGTGATAGAAGTTGGTGGGGGGAGAGAAAGATTGTTATTTAAGACAATTTGTAAAGTTAAAGCACTACTGGTTATTTCTAAATATATGGGGAAAATATTATGACAGAAAATAATATGTCTTATCTCAAGCTTCTTTAAAAATATCCAACAGAATGGACTGTATTCTAAGATACTGCTTTTCATAATGTTTTATTGCCGTACTAATATTGATTTCTAAAAATGCATTTCTTTTAATATAACTTCCCCATGCATATTGTTTAAATATGCAATTAACTGCTTCTTATGAAAGTTTATTTATTTATTTAAAGGGTTTATATGGTTGCCCACTAACTTTCGATGATTCTGGGAACTTGCAAACAATAATTTGTAAGTCATTGCCACGTATAAGTTCCCAAAATGGCATCCATTTAATTAGCACTTAAATTTCTAAGATTACATGTCTCTCATATTTTGATTGGCTATTACATTCTTATCTGTTTTTAAACACACATCTAGATATGAAAGCTTTTTATCTCCAACAATACATCAAGATCTTACAATTCTCATCGTTGTTTTTTTACTCATCTCATAGCTGCTTTTGCCAAAAATGAAATTATCTACACTCAAACAAACTCATGTACCATGTAACTTCCAGGACCTGCTAAAACATGTAATCATGCTATATAGCACCATCTAAAAAATAAATGCATTTTAAGTCATACATAAATACACATAAAAGTAGAACACACTGCATATAATAGATATAAATGTTTTGAAACAAAACAAAATCCTTGAAAAAATATTTTGAAATGTACATTCTATTACATATTACATCTACTACATAAAATTCAGTAAGAAACAACCCTCAGTAAGTTTTAGAAGATATAGCCAGTACTAAATTCTGTACTATCAATAGTTATCTTTACTAATCTTTATATACGTACGTACGTACATACATAGACACACATATACACATACATACATGCTGAATATTCCTAATTTGTCACATTTTAACTATATCCAATTTACTGGTCTCCAAACACAAAACCAGACCAAAAACCAAGTTTCTAACAAACACACACAAATCTATTCACATTTATTGATCACTACTCACTACTACTCCATTTTTCCTCACTATTACTACTCAACAACTCCAGGTATTACCCCTTGTGAGTTCTACTATTTCAGTGAATATTCTAGAGAAAATTCTCTCCTCCTAGCTGCTTCAGACCATTTTACTTAAACATACCTTCTTCTCAGTGTCTCCTACACACCACGACCAGCTGTCTCTGAGCACAGCTTTTATAGTCAAGGTTGCAGTGCTGGCCTGGGAGGGAATTTAAAGAGACAGGACAACAGCAGCACAGGTGCTTGCTATTTTCTGGACAGCCTGCTCTTTTACATAAATGTATGAAAAAGCATCAACATTTCAAGACAAAAATAAATTAAGAAATTCTAGCTAGCATTAATTACACAAAACTTAAGTTTTTACAAAAGCTTATATTAAGAGTTCTGAAAATAACAACCAACCCACCCAGTATTTATTTGAATTTCTGATCTATCTATCCTAAAAAACAATTAAATTTATGTACATCTTTCTAGATGCAATACAACATCATAATAATGTAGAATAGAGTAGAATAGAGTGAAGGGTAGAGTAGAATAGAGTAGAGAATTTATTGGCCAAGTGTGATTAGACACAAAAGGAATTTGTCTCCCCTGCAAAAGTCCTGTGTACATGTAAAGCAATAGAGTAATAACCATAATAATGATACCAATAGAGAAGATGGGAAGTATAATAATACTAAGTAAAGGTTCCCCTTGCACATATGTGTTAGTTGTTCCTGATTCTATGGGGCGGTGCTCATCTCCGTTTCAAAGCCAAAGGGCCAGCACTGTCCGAAGACGTTTCCATGGTCATGTGGCTGGCATGACTAAACACCGAAGGCTCACGGAACGCTGTTACCTTTCCATCAAAGTGATCCCTATTTTGTTACTTGTATTTTTACATGCTTTCGAACTGCTGGATTGGCAGAAGCTAGGACAATAACGGGAGCTTATCCCGTTACACGGCGCTAAGGATTCGAACCACCAAACTGCCGAACTTTCTGATCAACAAGCTCAGCATCTTAGCCACTGAGCCATCACATCCCTTATATACTACAGCTATACAATACGGGTTAATATACTGATAAAAATGTTTATTTTTACTTATATTTATACTTATAAAAATATAATATTTTCTTGGCTGCTCCCTCTCGTCTAAATTTCTTCCTATAAGTTAGCTGATGGCAGACAGTCTAGAAGGAAAAATAAAATATCTGCTACAGGTTCAGCCCTGGGGAACTGTCAATTCTCATTTAACTTAAATACAATGTATAGCTTGAAAATAAAGTGTTATTTTCCTTGATGGTCATTTTTAAAGCAGAAAAACCACTTCAGAGAACTTCATTAATCTCTGGAAAGCTCCTTGATGTTAAGTACTTGCAACGTTCACATTAATTTCTAGATCAGTTTCATTAGTCTATTGCCATTTAAAAGGCTTATATGATCTCCAAAGTGGCTCCGTCTATCTAGACAGGCTTTGTCCATTAAAGAACTATGCATTTCTGAAACAGCACTACTGCAATCTGCAGCCTGGTATAGTTTGAGTGATTTATTATTTGTGAGTTTGATTCATTCTCTCTCTATATGTGTGTGTGTGTGTGTGTGTGTGTGTGTGACATTTTTTTCTTCATAGAACTGAAGGATAAATATTATTCTATAAATAGTATAAACCAGGGCTCCACAACCTCCAGACCACAGACAAGGTTAGGAACAAGGCAGCACAAGCGGCGCATGACTAAGCAAAGCTTAATCTACACATCCGCAGAATCTAGGTGCAAAATCCTACCCACCTGGTCGGTGGAATTACTGTCTTCCATGAAACCCATCTCTGCTATCACAAAGGTTGGGGACCACTGGTATAAAGTATGCTTATTTAGTGGACTAAGTTGGTGATAAAGAAATTTAGGGCTAGGCACTTGTTTTCTTGTGTTTAAGAACAACAACTAGCTAAATAATATGCTGAAGTAAAATAAGAGATTTGTATATAAGGGAAGATGTGACAATCTTAGATGAGATGACAAAGCATAAAGATTCTCCTATGACAGAATTGTTTGTACAACATTCTTTCCTGCAGTCATGTATGGCTATGAAAACTGGACATTGAGAAATAGAAAGGAGAGACAGAACTTTCAATTATTGTTTGGAGATGGTTACTAAGAGTACCACGGAACAGGAACACAACAAGGACAGCCAATGTTTCAGTCCTGAGGGAAATAAAAGACTGACTGCTCCCTTGAGAAAAATTATTAGCAAGCAGAAACTCACATTCTTTTGGCCACATAATGTGAATGCATGGAGTACAAAAAAGAACTATGCTTGGTAAGCTACTAAGGGAAGTAAAGAACAAAGACAACATAGAAGATAAACAAATGGGATCAATTATATCAGTGGAAATATCCTAAAAGAGCTGTGGATCATCACAAGGAACAGTCAAGATGGAAGGCATTTGTCCATACAGACACCAGTAGTCAGATCAAACTTAAGGACACCAAAATAATTAATGCTAAATGAGTTACAATCATTGTAATTTGAGAAGTGAAGAATTTTTCATACAATGTTTCACTATCTCCGTTAATAAATTTATCAATTTTGCATGTTTGTGTGTGTGTGTGTGTGTAATTGATAAACATTCAATAGTTGTTTTGTTACAATAATGCACTTTTAATTACGTTATTCACCTTTAATCAGCAGTTTCATATAAATGTTTTAGGCTTGATTTTATACATTGCAATATTAATTCATAATTGCAATAAACCCTTTCTTCTCTAAATACACAATGTCTTAAAGATGTATAACTTGGGGGGGGGGAATCTTATGCACGCAGTTGTGTGATGAGGATTTTTCGAAAGCAGAAATTATACCACTCCTAAATGTTTGTACCAAATTAAGTACAGAAATCAAAAATTATGCCAATGTTGATATATTTAAACAAAACTATACCCAATAACAATTCTAAAAGGACAGCAGGTGTCTAGTCAATCATAATGTACACTGCAAATTTTATTAGTTGTTCTATGGGAGGTAATTTAGCCAAGCCCTTCTTTGTGAATAGGATTGAAAAGGTGTCACAGTAAAACTTCTGCATGTTTTCTTGGGATTTGGTATACAGCAGTGGCCCCCAACCTTTTGGGCACCAGGGACTAGTTCAGTGGAGAGATTTTTCTGTGGACCAGAGGGTGTGTGGTTTCATGTGCTACCTGTGTCCCACAGATGGGGCTTCAATTTATTTATTTTTGTCTCTGGCATGCTGTGGGTTGCTGCCAGTCCACGGACCAGAAGTTGGGGAGCCCTAGTACACAGGATGTCAGATAAATCTGCTTTGCTTCTTTCTTTTTTCCCTCCAAAACTCTTGTAATATTTCTAGGAGACTTCATCTAGGAATTGCTTTTCATTAATCTGTGGGTTATAATCAGTAGATATTTATTTTGTATTGTATTCAAAACAGGCCATAGAAGGACTAAATCAGTCCAAACATTTGGATCAAAAAAATTTTTGGTTGCTGTGGCTGTATTTTTGCACCCTGATGTCATTGCTAGCATCAGAAGGGAAATGAAGTTATAGGACATTGATGGCAAACCTTTTTGGCACCAAGTGTCCAAACCGGAACATGTGTGCACGCATTTGCCGGAGCACCAAAAACCCCAAAACCAGCTGGCCAGCGTGCGAATGCCTGTTTTTTGGCCCCAAAAATGGTCTGAAAAATGCCCCCAAAATGGCCTTTTGGACCATTTTTGGGGGGGCTATTTTCAGGCGCTCCAGCACTCATGAAGACCAACTGGCTGGCACATGTGCACACCGGAAACCAGAAGAGCAGTTGGCGATGCTGGATGTGCCCACAGAGAGGGCTCTGTGTGCCACCTCTGGAATGTGTGCCATAGGTTTGCTATCACGGTTATAGGAGTTCAAGATTCT